AAGTGTGCGCACTCTGCTGCTGGCGGCCTGGGTTCGGATCCTGGGCGTGCACAGAAGCACCGCTTGTCAAGCCATGCTGTGGTGGCATCCCATACAAAGTGGAGAAAGATGGCACAGATGTTAGCCCAAGGCCAGTCTTCCTCAGCAAAAAGAGGAGGATTGGCATGGGTGTTAGCTTAGGGCTGGTCTTCCTCACAAAAAAAAAGAAAAAAGAATGTAGCAAGGATGAGAATTTAAAATTATATATGGAACAAGAATTATATCCTCTTTACAATACCATTAACCTAAGCACAGTGATATATAACATACTCCAAATCTATAAAACAGGATTGTACCTTGACTTTCCTACTCCCACAGACTTCTTTTTTTTCCTATGTACATTTGCTTTGCTAAAATTATGGCACTTAATATAATAGCAGAAATAGTTACATGGCTTCACATCCAGAAACAATACAATAGTGGAGGTGCAAACATTCCTTATTACTAATAAAAGTAAAAAAGTTTTAAGTATGTTCCATAAGCCCTTAATTACATAAAATATTATATTTAGCATCATTTACAGCCAGCACACTTATGTAAACTAATTATCATTACCTTTCTTTTACATTCTGCAAAAGAAATATGTTAAAGTAAAGACACATGGCAGGACACTCAAACATCATGAAAATTAAATGTCAGTTCTGAATCATTCATGGGGAAGATACCAGTGGATAATTCCTATTATAAACTATTGGATACTGTCACAATGATTTTATAATTTTTTAATGTTTTCAAAGTAAAATCCAAAAAAACTCCACTAAGAGCCATCTTGAGAGACAAAAGATTTTTTCTTAACTGCATCACCTTTAGACAACAAAAGATTGCATACTGTTCAACCACCCTATATAAATTATATCATTTGTGGAAAATATGTACAAACAAACATAAAGCAAATGTTGTATCTGTTGGTCAGTGCTATTTTGGCAAGCAGTTCTCAGGAGCTCTATTAGCATCTGGTGATAGGAACTGCCACCGTTGTGAGTTCTCCATATGCTATCTGCATGAAATAGGAAGCCTGTAAACAGAGGTGTAAAAAACCGTTTAAAATAAAGATGTCAAGTGCACTCAGTGCACCCTAAGAAGTTCTATCTGCGTACTTCTAGTCAAGTAACATTCAGGATTAAAATACTGTACCATTTTCTAAATGTACTGAGTATTTAAGATGAAAAATTGCAACAAATTCCTAATCAGATCCAGCTGATAAGAAAATCATGCATCCAAAAGAGGATCTTCTTAGAGAAATGATAAGCTCAAAGACTCAATTCCCCTCATTTGTTTAAACCAATGATATGTCCAGTGTTTCATTAATCCTTCAAAACACCATGTTGAAAACATAAAATTAACTTCATCCTAACCAGACATACACAGACTCTTATCTAACAAACTGCTAAGCTTTGGTTATATAAAGTGCAGTTCAATAATGTGCTACCCTAGCCATTCACAACCTGAAATTCTTAATCGGGTTGGAAAAGAGAATTGTCTCTTCCCTGGACTGGTCTGGGTAACTCTGTGCATGTTACTCTACCTCTACTGGTTTCTTCTGTGGGAGGCATTCTGTGCTAGCAAGTCCATTCCATATACTTGGGCCTTTATTCTTAGTTTCTGCCTGTGGACTAGTTTAAGTAAAGCTTGAATCAAAGTTTTCTAACCTTAATTTATTGTGAAATTTAGCATAAACACACAGATAAAAGTCTATAAAATAAACATAAGATAATTTTAATAAAATGAACACCATATAAGCAACATGAAGATCTATAAATGGAGTACTGAGAGCACCCCAGACCTCCTATGTGCCCCATTCTTCCATTCTCCATCCTGACTCTGTTAGAATTACTTCCTGGCTTTCTTTATAGCTTCATCACCTATGGAGGGCCTCATTGTCATCAGCGTCTAGCCCACAGAAGGTTTAAGATGGAAAGGGCACACCTTGGCCCTGGAATGTATTCCATCACATCTAGATCAGTCACATGCTGCATCTCACTGCAAGAAAGACCTGGAAATGGATGTTCTGGAAGAAAAGGTGAACAGTAGCAATTTCTGCCACATTGGGTTTTCATATTGGTGCCTATCCATATCTTTGATGTGAAGATTAAATAAGATGCTGAGTGTAAGAACCTAGTGCTGACTCTGGGACCGAGTAAGCACTAATGATGATTACTACAGCCCATCCTTATGTTTTCCCTTCATTGTACAGGCCAGTATAAAATAAGAACATATTCACACATTCCTAAATTAGGTAATAAAAATGTTAAATGTGAAATGTAAAAAATACTTTCTAGATAATTTCTTGTTTGAGTATTTTGCTTTTATTTGTGTTTTGAGACATTTTTATTCACTAAAACATTTGTTCAAGTTTCACTGACTTTTAGAAGTATGGTAAAGTTTGTATAATAACACTGAAAAAAGAATCCAACCCTCATAGATTTAGAATCAAAACACCCAAATTCTAATCTCAGCCCTATGACTTATAAATTGAGCTGTGGTACAGGACATGAACATCTCTGGGCATTAGTTTCATCATCTATGAGATGGGAACTAAGATACTCTTCCTCAGGTACCTCAAAAATATTCCCTAAAAACACAAAGAAGATGGATGTGACAGTGCAGAGAAAACTGCAATAAAACATTCCTCCTAAGAGCAGTTGTAACGCCCTGCACATATATTAACATTTTAAGGGGGTTAATTCAACTTTTTGCCAGAGAGATTTTAAATAGCCTAAGTGATCCCACCAGCCCTCCCACTTATTGAGGAAGGAAGAAATCTCTGTCTCAGAGTGTACAACTGCCCCACACTGAGAGTGATTCTAATGTTTAAAGGCACGTATTTTGTACAGCAAAGCCCTGCATATAAACCAACTACTTCATTTGACGCTAAACTGAATATACAGTGAAATGTCCCAATGCTAGAGAGAACACTGACTGTGCCCGACTTAGGGGAAAACACCACGTCTGTCTCCAACATGAACATTTGCTGACACAATCAAGTTTCAGGAGTAATTGTAACCATATAAGACCGATTTTAGAATCTATACACATGTAGGTTGCAACTCTCCTACGTTGCATGATGAAACTCCAGCTTTATATCTTTCTCTTACATTGCCTTGTTTATGATTGTGACATACAGCACATTCCCACACATTGCTAGGCACTTTAACAGGTACAAAGGTTTGTTATGTTTTTACATAAACAAATTAATCTTTGAAGCAATAATCATTTCCCCTTCCTGGGTTCATCAAATACTTCATGCTCAGCTCTACCTCTCTGGAGCTGGAACCAGGAACCATCTACCTGAATGTGCATACAAAGATTAAAAGTGGGTTGCATGCAATGCAATCACATTAAGCAGTGATTTCATAAAATATAAGACCTGAAGACACTCTCTGTGTGTGTATGTGTATGTGTGTGCGTGTGTGTGTGTGTGTGTGTGTAGGGAGGTCATATAAAGAAGAATGGAGGATAGGATTCAATAAAGTTAGGGAGTAAGAAACTAGAGTGATATAGAGCCAAAACCACTTTTACTTCTGGTTTTCCTCAGTTCTTAACCACTGTGCGCCCTGATCATGCTCATTATATACCTGATCCTGAGCCACAATAGCAGCTTGCTCACAGAAAATTAACATTAAAGAAATTCAGGATGTCATCAGGGAATTTTCTTTCTGGTCTTTAACCAGGAAGACCATCTTCTGTTATAGCTCATAGAGTCCAAGCTTCTGCACTGACTTAGAAACACCCCATTCCTAGTAGGCAGGCACAGGCAAACCCCATGGCTCACTTATTTAGCTCTCAGCTGTGACAACGTCAATAGAATTATACTGTCTCGCTTAACTTCTTTAGTGCCATTTCCATAACGCAAGGAAACACACGCTGTAAAGGCAAACTCTACGTTACACATACAAAACATCCTAACTTGATTCGTCTCCTTTGAGAGAAGTCCAAAATAGACACATAGAGCTTAAATTGCTAAATAGAAGCTATAGCTAAGTTTCCTTTTGTTACCACTTTGCCACACTAAACTTTTACAAGCTGTATTTATACTTTATTATTTTTTATACAAAACAATCAGAAATAAGGGAACCTAATTTTAAAGTATATCTTTTCTAAAAATGAAACAAATTTAATTTGTATTTGAGGCTTCTCAAATGAAAGACTAGTGCATAGGTTTAACTCATAATTTTGGCCATGTCAAATAGTGATAAAATATGTAACAGTGGACACACATTTGCAATGTTACCAAATGTTCCCAAATAGCATAGTTATTAACAATTTATTTAGATACATTTTCTGTCAGTAAGGAAAACAATTTTATCAGAAGAAACAGTAAGTAAATGAAAAAAAAAAAGAAACCACCAACCAAGATCAACTATTTTATACAATAACTTGTTAGTGAAAATCAAGAATGATTTTGAGTCCAGAGGATATGGTATGAATAGTCATTTAAAATCATGAATCAAGAATTTAGCAATGCTGAACATCTAAAAAAAAAACACAAGCAAACCAACATACCAGCGTTACTAAATTTCACAATATCTAAATCTTGAGTGGATACTAGAAAACAAGTAAAATTGAAAACGTTATTAAATCATCTTACAAAATGTTGAAATTGTTACTAGATTAAAGATTAAAGGTTTTTAGAGTAATTATTTTTATCTGTTCTCTCAAAATAAAAATAATCCAGCATCCTATTCCAGAAAAGACATTGATGTAATTTGATTTATTCAAGAAATGTTTCTTTCAAATTATCATTACTCTCGTAAATGCAGTTGAAGGTTTTTATACCTTAAAATCCACAAGGAAGTTGCATATGGAAGTCACTAAAAACAGGGGTGATTTACTTGTTCCCAGGTCCTCCAGCCCTGTGGGTTGAAATTTTTTCAATATCAAATAACTTGAGTTTTTATCTTATGCAGAGAAATCCTGTGATCTCTATAATATTTCTAGACCTTCCAGAAAGGGGAGGAGAGTCAGAAGAATGGGCTTTTTTGATCCATCATTTTCTTTTTTAGATTCCTTCTTCCTAATTTGAGTTTTAATTACTATCCATTATTTTATCTCTTGAAAAATGTCCTCTCCCTACCTGGTTCCCCAAATTTGGCCACAGCTTTTCCATTTTCATTTCCCAAAACACTACTAATGTATGGTCATTGTGCATTATAAGTTTATGAATGTTTTGTGGACTGTGTATTTACATTACTATATAGAACAGGATAAAAATTCAGATTGAAAAGTGGTTTCTATATCCCCATTACCACTCTCCAACAGAGACCTCTTTTTTTTTTTTTTTTTTTGTGAGGAAGATCAGCCCTGAGCTAACATCCGTGCTAATCCTCCTCTTTTTGCTGAGGAAGACCAGCTCTGAGCTAACATCTATTGCCAATCCTCCTCCTTTTTTTTTTCCCCCAAAGCCCCAGTAGATAGTTGTATGTCATAGTTGCACATCCTGCTAGTTGCTGTACGTGGGACGCGGCCTCAGCATGGCCAGAGAAGCGGTGTGTCGGTGCGTGCCCAGGATCCGAACCCAGGCCACCAGTAGCGGAGCGCTGCGCACTTAACCGCTAAGCCACTGGGCCGGCGCCAACAGGGACTTCTTATTTATCGGCAGTATGTCTTGTTGAGTTCTGGTCTAACTACATGTTCTGGCTCCTTTCTCCTCTGCGCCCTCTTTTCTGAATTATTAATACTTGCAAACATTCCAAATTCATTTTTTTATTTTTGCAAGAGAAGTAACTTTCCTATTTCAGCCAATTGTTTCTCAACTATACTATCCCAAAAGGTCTCCTCTTTACCAACAAAAATAATGATCAAGCTATTTTTCTAATTAAAAAACAACGAAAAAGTAATATGCACCCTGAGAAAAATTCATATATCATCCTATAACAAAGCACAGTCAACTTTCAAATTAGATATTTTCTCATATTCCATGCTTACTGAAACAAAATAGAATAAAGGAGAAGCAAAGTATACAAGAAAGAGTAGTAGACTAAAATCAGAAGATTGAAATTTTACTCTAGACTTCTTCATTAAGAAGATATGTAACTGTAAATAAGTCATTAACCACGCCAAGATTTACCTTTCTATCCATGGAATACGTATATTTTGACAACCTGTTACGTGCAAGGTTTAGTGTGCAAAGATAAAAGAACAATTTGCTAAAGGAAGCATAATGTATAGTGTTTACAGATGCACATTGGGTTCTACTGACAGTTTTTATGGAACCTTCCTTCCTGACATTAAAGGACATGTCTTCTTCTTCTTCAGTGAAGGCTATAAAAATGGGGGAACAAACACATGGTCTGATTCACGCCTTCAATGGTTAGTGTTAGATAAGACATCACCAATGACACCATGTCCCCCAATGTTCCTTAATTTGATCATTGTAGACCAGTCTTCTACTTCCAGAGAGAAAAATACAAGTGCAAAATGATAAAGGAAGAAAACAGAGATAATAAGTTCCTTTTTTAAATGTTATTACTAAATGTGAAAAAAGATGAAGAAAGAAATTCTGGAAATGGTGAGGAAAGAGAGAAGACCTACTCTCAAAAAGTGAAAAGAAATTATTGAGAGAAGACTCATATTTCCTTCAACCTGGTAAGAAAGAAATAGAATAAGAAGAGTACAAATAAAATTATTTTAATTAAACACAAAGAATTTCTTTGTCCTGTGACTAACTACACAGAGATGCTGTTTCTGCTATTCAGAGTTTTTCTCAGAGCAAGTTTGACGTCTTTGTTCCTCAAGCTGTAGATTAAAGGGTTCATTGTGGGAACCACACTGGTATAAAAGACAGAAGAGATTTTTTCTCCATCTAGGGACACAACAGAAGACGGTTTGAGATACATAAATGCAAATGATCCAGAGAACAGAGAAACAGCAATTATGTGGGAACTGCAGGTGCTGAAGGTTTTGGACCTGCGCCCCATGGAGCTGATGTGGAGGATGCTGGAGATGATGAAACCATAAGAGACAAAGATGATGAAACTGGGCACAATGACATTGGTGCCGACCACAATGAAGACTACAAGCTCACTGACGTAGGTGCTCATGCAGGAGAGCTGGAGCAAAGGGAAGATATCACAAAAATAATGGTTGATAGTATTTGCGTTACAGAAGGTCAGTCTCAGCATGCATCCAGTGTGGGCCACGGCACCAGAAAATGCCATCAAGTATGAACCAAGCATAAGGCCAGAACACACGTTAGAGGACATGGTAACATTATACAAAAGTGGTTTACAGATAAAGCGATCGTAGGCCATTGATGTCAGCACATAGCATTCAGAAATAGCAAAGAAACAGAAAAAGTAGAGCTGGGTCATGCACCCCATATAGGAGATAATGTTCTTTGATATAAAGTTGATCAACATTTTGGGTGTAAACACAGAAGAATAACAGAGGTCTATGAAGGACAAGTTAAAGAGGAAAAAGTACATGGGGGTGTGCAGGTGTGAATTCAGCCCAATTAGGATTATCAAGCCCAAATTTCCCAACACAGTGATGATATACATTACTAGAAACAGGAAGAACAAGGGGAGTTGGATATCTGGCTGATCCGTTAATCCCAACAGAATGAATTCAGTCACAAAGGAGCCGCCATTCTTCTCTAAGGGATTCTGTGGACACAGGAGAAAAGGGTTACATTAGAGAACAACTCAGCTCTTCCTGCAATATCTCGTTCTACAACAGAGTTTATACACTGGAAATGTCTGAGACTAGCCCACCTGGACCCATCTGCCTTTACCACTACCATGATACTGAGCAACACTAACTTTCCCTTACTGGCATCTAAATAAACTAAACATAACAAACAGAATCACAAATTTAGCCTTTGCTCCCATCTGCAAACATGACTGCTGGGTAAATCAAGGGAGAAGGGAGATGTTTGGACTAGGACAGTATCATCTTTCCCTCATCTCACCATTTCTTCATTCACTTGAACCCTCACCTCATCAGTAAAATTGGAGGAAGCAATGCTAGCCACCTGGTTTTCGCCTGTAATGCTGATTAGACTGGTGAATTGGGAACCACAAAGACTGTTTCTAATTGAGAACTAAGGGACCAAAGTCTAGGAGAGATCAATTTACTGCCTCATGTCACAGAGTAAAAGCCATAAATGAGGAAGAATGAGATTTCCACCTGTAGAGAGGGAACTTACTGACTGAGACAATGCACCCCTTGAGTCCTCTAATGTCTCTGAACATTCTCTGATCTCTCCTCAGACAAATTCTTCTGCCAATTTCACTTGAATCTCAGAACTACACAAAATGGGAAAGGAATAGTCTTACGTCACCGTACCCCCAATCTCAAAACAAGGGATATATTATTATAAATGGAATTCAGAAACTCACCCTCCTTAGGTCAGAATGCCTCAGTCCTCTCTTATCCCTGGTATTTTCCCCTGTGGTTTTGGAAAGGCAATTTCAGTTTCTGAGGCTTTGTTTCCTTTGATACTAAGAGGATGCAGCTCAGACTTAAATTCAGATATATTCCAGAAATCTTTCTGAACTATAGAGGATAATTTCTGATTATGACTTTGAGTCATCTCAAGTAGCAAAGAAAAATGGTCTTTATTATTTTCACATTTGCTACTTGATTAAATGCAGAAGATTTAATGTGAGTTTAATGACATAATGCATTTGGTTATAAACAAAGCAGAAGCTTGCTCAGTCTCTTCCCCTGGGAATAGATTCTACACGCAAAAGGATAATAAGAAGATTATATACCCTGAACTATGATCTGTCTTTAGTTCCTTAGGGCTTCAATACTTTACTCATTTTCACTTCCCTCTGGAGATTGTACATCCCTCAGTGCAGATCCCAAGTAAATTTCCATCTCCCTGTTATCTTCATGTCTGTAGGGAAATCTATTATATTGTTTCATTCCCTATTTATTCCCATGTGCTAAATGGAAAATTTTCTTACTGCAAGTGTTCTGCCTCCAGCCTTCCTTATTTCTTCATCTGAAAATTTTCAACTATTGCAGTAACTCACTTCACGTTTTCTCTCTCCTGAGATGTCTGCTAAATAATTTGCAAGATTGTATACACCTTCTAAAGTTTTAACTTTTAAACAGTTACTGAAAATTTCTACCTGACTATCCTGCTGGGTCTTATGTAACATTTCAGTCATGTTGTAATCTTTTATTCTCATCATAGAAGAGAGTAGGGGCTATGGAGTTAGAGGGAGGGTATATGATTCTTACATTCCTACTTCCACTCTTACTAACTGTAATACCTTGGACAATTTACTCACTCTCTCTGTTCTTCTGATCCATCTTTGTAAAATACGGGTGGTAAAAATATAATCTCTTTCATTAGGTTGTTGTGATAATTAAATGAAAAAAAAGTAATTAAAATGGTTAGAACCATGTCTGGCATATGGTCAATAGTCAATCAATATCAACTGTCATTGTTTATGTTCTCATAAATTCCAGTAGATCCTCCATCATAACACTCATCATACATTTTTTCCCTTGATTCCTGTGTTCTCATATCAACTATACGTTCTATAAGGACAAATGTCTTTTCTCTCTGGTTCACTACTTTGCTCCTGGAACTAAGAACAATGCAGAGTATATAGAAGGAACACAATAAATATTTCTGAAAATCATGTTGTTCTTTGGCTGAGAAGCTTCACAATATATTCCACATTTATGACATGCTGAGCAACAGCATCTACAACCATGATGACCTCCATATACGTCCTTCAGCCACCACACAACTTCTGGATTTTTAGGTTTTAACTGAACTGTAGTGCTGCACTCTAGTTGCGTTCAACTGTTATTCTAGCATTTTCCCACATACTCCCTCTTATTTATCTATGTACACAGCTGCTGGAATAAGCCTGAAAGCACAGCTCTGTCCCTCTCTAGTTCAAGAACTTCCAATGTTTTTCCATTACCTGCCCAACAATTAAAGCTAAGTAATAAAGTCATGAAACTATGATTTAGTCTTGGTTAAAATTAAAGAAAAAATTGAGTCAGAGTTTTATTTGATGAGAAGCCATGAAAAAACTATTTTGATTGATTTAAGTATTTTGCATACAATTAGTGCTGTACAAACTTTTAGCTTTCTCACAAATATAAGAATGTTGGAAAATGCTTATACTTCAGAGACCACAGAGTATAATGAACAAAGATCACAGACCAGATGAACCAAAGATAGTATTGAAAATCTAAGTTTAAATCTGCACAAATGTACCTTTCTAATCTTAAAAAATTATGACTTCTCCCCTCAGTGTTTACTGAAAAGGATCATGAGTCTTACTTAGGTGTTGACTTGTTTTAATATTTTTTAATGTAATATCTTGGGAATGTAGCCTTCAACATATGTTATAAATTAGAAAGTTTCCAGCTTTGAGTTACAGAATGCTTAATTAAAAACTCATTTAAAATAGGAGCTTATTTTTCTCACCTAGCAATAAATCTAGAGTTAGAATACCCAAGGTTTGGTTCAGCAACAAAACACTCTCATCAAGGACTCAGTCTCCTCCATTCCACTGTCCTCGGTTTGTTGGCCTTAATCCTCAGGCTTGTCACCTCATGGCCGTAAAAGAGGCTTTCAAAGTTCCACAAATCACATCTAAATACAAGTATATCCAAAGAAGAAAGCAAGCAAAGAGGCAAAGGAACTCCCTTGATACATCTCTTTGTATTAGGAAGTAAATCATCTCCAGAAGCCAATAGATGACTTCTTTCTATTTCTCTTCACTCATGTGTCTATGCCACATGGCCAGCCCAGACGCAGGGACTACTGATAAAATGAGAATCTCCCATTTTTAACCTCTATCAAAAAATAAGTTTCTGGCATTCGGGAGAAAGAGAGGAGGAATATCTACTGGGCAGAGCACCAACACAATCTGCCACAAACAAAAAGCTTCTGAAAGATATTTGTAAAGATAAGTTATGTTTTTCAATTTAAATATAGAATATGCATTTTTTAAATGAATTTACTCTTTTACACTTAAATCAACTCAGTTGCCTTGGGATATTCAAGCCATTTTATAAGCATGTATATATGTGTGGCAAAAATAAACATACATTAGTATATATTTACACACACTCTACTTATATGTAGTGAAGGGAGAGAAAAGAACATCATTCTCTAATAAGAGAGGGTTCTCTTCCTAGTACAAAAAGCATCTGAGGGTTGGTCCCAGACGTTGGTGTAGGAAGAGCCTGAACTCACTTCCTCCCATGGACACCCCAAATCTACAGCTACATATGAATCATTTCCCTCTGAAAAAGATCTGAAAACTAGATGAACTGTTTTTCACAAGACATGATAAAAGGAACACATGGAATAGGGGAGGAGAAGCAGAAATGAGGTCTGGCAAAAATTCCCATCCCTCCGGTGGTGACACAATAAGGAGGGATCTCACCCTGCTTTTCTAGGACAAGCAAGGGTTGGTGTCCCACATCAGGCACCACAACCCCTGGGATCTGCACCAGAGAGACTAGCCTCCAAAATATCTGGCTTAGAAAACCAACAGGGCTGACATCCAAAGATATCCAAGTGCCATAAAAAACTGAGAGTCTCCTCTTAAGGGCTCTCATGCAGTCTCACTCGCCCCAAGACCCAGCAAAAAGACTGCAATTTGAAAACAGCCTAAATTATTTGTGAATGAGATTCATTTACTAACCCATAAGCATCAGCTGGAGGGATGGGGGACAGTTGAAATGCTCCCCGACACGGATGAGCTGTCAAACCTCATTATTGCACTCTCTACCTAACCTGCTAGCACAAGTGGGCATGTTCAGATGTGGTACCTTCCTGCTGCTTTGCTAAGACAAGCAGAGGCAAGCTGTCAGGGCACCATCCCACTGTCTTGCTGAAACTGAAGGGCATAAGTGGTTATGACACTCCTCCAACCCCTGGCAGGGGCTGGCAAGCATGAGCAGTCACATCATTCTCCCAGTCCCAGCCTCAAGCTGGGATGTGAGCACAGACAAGTCACTCTCACGTCACATGGCTGAAGTCCAGGGGTACAGGTAGTCAAGACATTTTTATGCTGCCTTCCTGAAGCCAGAGAGTGTGTACACCCCCACTCTTCAGCCACCTTACTAAAGCTATTGGGCACATGCAATCCACACAGAGGACATCCCTTGATCATCTGACCCTAGTGGCCAAGAGGGCTGGCATCCCTGAGCTCCACAGGACTAGAATAATTGGAAAGACAATTCTTGGCAGGCCACCACCCCAAGGGCAATGCACAGACCGCAGACTGAAACATAACTCCAGTCTTCCTATGAAAAAGGCCTATTCACTCAGCCTGGTGCTTCAGCTTGGGGGACAGGCTTCAGGTTCTCCATATACCTAGAGGCTAAGGAGACACGCCCAGGGAATAAAAGCTGGGAGACACCATCATTGCACATACCCTTGGCCTAGCTTGATGAGACTTGCCAGAAAGGAGCTTATATACTCATCTGGAGCTCCAATTTCTGCAAATATCACCCAGAGGACATCTCTATATGTCCTGGTTTGGAGGCCAACAGGGATAATGATTGTGGCTCCACAGAGCTGTATATATTCTCATACTTTAAAAGGTGCTACCTGAGGGTCTGCCTTCCAGTCAGCCTGAAATTAGGTGCTAAATGAGAGTCCTCCCCGTGGAACACTGACAGGTCTTGGTACAACCTCAACAACAAGGGCATATCAAGAATAAATCAGGTGGTCTAGACAATCACAAAGACTTGAAAGACAACCAAGAGGTTGAGTAAGGTTGAATGGGGAGGATCATCACCTATATAAGGGCACTCCCTCAAGACTGAAAAAGGTACCTATTACACTAATACATAGAATCAAACATAGAGAGCCAAACAAAATGAGGAAACAAAGAAACACGTTCAAAACAAAAGTCAAGACAAAAACATCAGATAAAAGCCTTAATGATACAGAGATTAGTAATATAACTGATAAAGAATTCAAAGCAATGGACATAAAAACCCTTGCCAAACTCAGGAGAAGAATGGATGAACACAATGAGAACTCAACAAAGAGATAAAAGACATAAGAAAGTACCAAGCAGAAATCACAGAGCTGAAGGATGCAACTGAAATGAAAAATACCATAGAGGGGTTCAATACAGACCAGATGAAGTAGAAGAACAGATCAGTGAGCTGGAAGATAAAGCAATGGAACCTACACAGACAGAGAAGTAAAAAGAAAATGAATAGAAAAAAAACAAGATAACTTAAGGGATCTCTGGGGCAACATCACACAGAATGACATTTACATTCTAGGAGTCTGGGGAAAAGAGACATTATTTGAATAAATAATGGCTGAAAACTTCTCTAACATAAGAAAGGAAGCAGATATCCAAGTTCAGGAGGCTCAGATAGTTCCAAATAGAATGAACCCAAAGAGATCCACACCAAGATACATTATAATGCATGATCTCTCTTATTAAGTAGTAGATAATAACAACAATGAACAGACACATAGAGGCAGAGATTGGATTGGTGGTTACCAGAGGGGAAGGGGGGAGGGAGGAGGGTGAAAGGGATAATTCGGTACATGTGTGTGGTGATGGGTTGTAATTA